GCTTTTAATTGTATATATAATATATTCATTTCCTTTAATACTCCCTCTGTAAATTAATATTTGCTACACTTTCCTTTTTGAGATGTATTTACAAGTTTGCTATACTTTCATTTTTGGTAAATTTACCCTTTATAAAATACTAAACTAGCCTTACTTTTTCTACTTTTTATCTTCTCTTTCATATTTTTACACACTTTTTCCTACTTTTTCTACACTATTCACTACACCACCACTTTAGTTCTTAAATAATGTGTCAAACCAAATGTAGTGAACATTAAAATATCCAACACGGTACACTGGAATACTGGATTGTATTGTGTGGGCTCTCGATCAATATCCAGTGCTTGGTTTTCTCGCAACATAAAGAAACAGAGCATTCTTTAGAAAACTAAAATGAGCATCGTTTTTACGCAAATTGTATCTATCATTAGATTCATCATTCATTAGTACTTACTACTTACTCATAGGAATATAAATAACACAGGAATATAAATAACATCTGATGTATACATTTTCCTTTCCCTAACCTACTTTTGATAGGGACATACCTTACAAGTTTGTTTATTTTGTTTATTTTTCTTTTCAATGAGAGGGGGGAGAACTTAATTAATGTCTATAATACAATAATAGTCTTTTGAGTAGGCATAAATCCGGTCCTGAAGAATTTTTGGTGAAGCTCGAGCCCAACCCAAATATAAAGGGTCTCGGTTCAAGGTGCCCGAGTAACCCGACATCCGAGTCCCGACCAGTCCATAATACAAACAAAAAACTATACACATTAAAAAGGAAACATAAGTTTATTTGAAACATTTAATTGACTTGTACTAGCACGTTACAAATTTGTGTGTAATTATGTGTGTAAAAAACTAAATGCTAAAATGAAAATGTAGATAATAATACTAAGGGTATGTTTGGCACAACTAGCTGAAAAGATACTTTTGTGAGCTTTTTAATAACTGTTAGCTTTTAGTGTCTGAAAAGATCTTAAAAGGAAAATATGGTAGTTGTTTGGTGAAAAGTTGACTGTTTGATTTAGTTTGGTTTGGTATACAAGCTGTTAGGATTAATTAGCACTAAAAGTCACGAGCTTTTCTCAGATGCTACTCCCCGTAGCATCTCAAAAAAGATCTTTTAATTTTTGAAAAGCTCTTAAAAATTGTCATGTCAAACATACAACTAGAAACTTTTAGAGACTTTTTGAACAATACAAAAGCTAGAAGACAAGAACTTATGCCTGCCAAACATAGCCTAAGTGCTGGTACATTACAAATTTGCTACTCTTCGGAACTCTCACTTCCCTAATCGGTTGTTGCTTCCTCCATAAAATGACGAGTCGGTGCTATCTTTAGTTCTCGAGTTCGCCGCTGGGCGTTCGACCAATCGTGGAAACACACATGCGTCTCAAGAGATTGCGCACTCAATCTCGTCCTATAATCGATTAGAAAGTTCCCGGTTTCATTAAACTCTTGTTCCACGACAACTATTAAACATGCATGGATAGGACTTGTTTCTTCATTGTTGATAAAACTGTAAACATCGCTTCTTTATCCTTCCACTTTTTGAGAATGTTAGTGTTGAGGTTTTGTCCCGTAGATCCGGAAGCCCAACATAAACTTCGGATATTAAGGACGATGGATTCAGTATAAAAGTGAATAAATATATAAAAGAAGTGTATGAACTAGCTATTTTTACGTGGAAACCCGGAAAGGGAGAAAACCACGGGACTTTTTAGACTAACGTCCAAGCCCGCTCTTTCTCATTAATATCCTCTCCCCACTCAATTACATAGTACAAAATATCAAAACCTCCATTAATGGAGCTTAGTGCTAATCTAAAAGAATAAAGAGGATGGGGGAGAAGAGCTCCTGGGAGCAGATCCCAGATCCTCTCAATAGGAAGCTTAACATGCCTATTTATAGAAGGGGAGGGGAACCCTTTCATGCTCATGGGCCTTAATGGGCCAAAACAGGCCCTAAATGGGCCCGAGGGGCCTAAATGGGCCTCGTCGATTGGGCCCCGTACCGGGGCAGTGTATTGGGCCTCTGAACAGTAGTAGGCCGGGGTAACATACCGCAACAGTTAGATATAAAGAAAGCTCGTTAATCGAGCTTTGTGCAACGCTAGAAGTTGACTTAGTTATTTTCAAAAGATTATATATTATTGATTTAAAAAGACACTTTCCTTAAGATGAAGAAACAACTTGTTTCGGGGAAGAGGGTACGTTAGCATATTTCTGCATCAAACTCATTAAATAAATTATGAATTGTGCTTGAACATCAATAGAGTTGTTGTCGTACATAGGCAATTCGTCATAAATAAACTACAATAGTACTCTAAAAATGATTGATAATTAGCAAGTTTGAAACGAGAATTAAGAACGAAAGCAATATCATACATAAGCGGAATGTAGGTATAATTTTTTTTAAAAAATATTTCACTAAATCACAAAAATAATGAACATATTTGATATCTTGAAATTCTTTGAAAGCACCAGTTAGATTGACACCTTCTAAAAAACATGTTACTAGTAGGTTGATAAAGATGATAATTAGATAGAGTGCGGTATGAAAATAAACATACACGCTACACTTTTTTCCATGATGTCTAACTCTCACGATTCTATAATATACTTACAAGTTTCTTTAATAAAAGCAGGCAAATTGTTTTTCCTAATCCAAGAATCAGAGCAATTAATTTATAAATACTATTCCAACGAATAGACAAATCTTTAGAAAAAAACACAAAACCTAACACGTTGAGATTTCAAATAAGCACGTCATTGTAATTTAAGTGTTGTACTAGCTCCATATAAGTTCAACACACCCTTTAACGTTACCCATCACATTTCATAATGCGAATAGGCCGTCTTTAACACATAAATTAATAAGATGATGTGCACAACGTTGATGAAAAAAAATCTTCTCATCAAAATAGATGAATCACATAATTCACACAATCTAGTTATATCAACACTATTGTTAGTAGCATCATCAAAACCAATAGCAAACACCTAATAAATGAAATTAAATTCAGTTAAAATACGTTCTATGATAATATAAACATTATCACCAATATGTTTCTCATTAGAATTTGTAAAAATGATCGCTCTTTTATGCATCATCCAACCATCATCAATAAAATGTACAGTTACACCCAAATAATACAAGTGATGATATATCACTACAACAGTCACACGTCCACGAAAATTTGCAAAACAATTAATTAAGTTTTGCTTTTCCAAATTATATTGTTTAATAACTTCCTTTTAATGGTTTCTCGGCTATAGTTTCAAAATTGTGGATTTAAATAACCTTGAGCATAAGCACGTAAAGTAAGACTTTCAGAAAAAATATAAGGCAAATTTTGTTCACATATTAATTCACACAAAGCTTTCAAATGTTCATCATTAAACAAAATCATTAAAGGGTTGAGAAGTTGCAAATCTCGAAATTTGAGTTTGCATGCTTTTGCCCTTCGTCCTTTCCGCCTCTACGGGGTGTCTTGAGTTCAAGTGCCTAGTCACAGTGCCGTAAGCCCGTAACCCCCAACGTCCACATGCCCAATCTTTGGGGATAATACCGGCATTGTGCGTACAACTTCCCGTCCAACGGATCCTTTATCATGTCAAAATGAAATTTAAAAAGATGAGAACATAAATTTTATTTTCTTACCTTCGTTGGGTTGCGTGTATGAACCGGCGCCACTCCATTGCTACTCCTCGGGGGGTATCCCCACCTTCTTGCTCCTCCTCCACCGATTGCTCTTTCTCGGTGTCATCGTCCTCCAACTCTTCGTCAAGATGATATCCCAGGGTCTGACATTTTGAAATGCGACTAATATTAAAATGTGGCTAATATTAAAATAAAAAAATATTAAGATGTAACTAATATTAAATTGTGGCTACTATTTAAATATGACTAATATAAAAATGTAACGAGTAACAAATATTAAGATGTGGCTAATATTAAAATATGGCTAATATCAAAATATCAAAATGTGACTCATCTTAAAATTTCCTAACTAATACTAAAATGCGACTAATATTTAAATAAATGTAACAAATATTAAGATGTGGCTCATATTAAAATGTAGGTAATATTTAAATGTAACTAATATTAAAATGTAATCCGGGACCGGGTACGCCATATACCCGATCGGGTATCAGGCCTTAGCCCGAGACCGAAAAAGAGATCCGGTTCGGTCCCAAACCGTACTGGACGCGGTTCCGGACCAGGTCAGACCATCAGACTGGGTCCATGCCTAATTTTGAGGGAGATATTTTTATAAGAGAAAGATGCCAAGATTTTGTTTTTGTACAAGTCACTTACCCTCGATCTATAAATAATGCTGTAATTGATTTGTGTCTGAGCATGTGATATTATGTGGTATAATAAAATTTTCTTTGTTACTTTTTCTTCGACATGTTCCATTTCCTGGTCAACAAACAAACCTTCAATTCATCAGTTAATTCTCCCATCAATAAAGAGATAAAACAGTTGCATGGAGAGTTTTTCTCAAAATGAGAGATAATTTCTCATCTGAAAACAAAAAGAAACATCAACAATCTCTCCTTCAGCACAAACAAAAAAATCAAATTCAACCAAAAGCTTCACACAAAAATCCAACCTGAAGATGACAGGAGGGGGCAGAGGAAAGATGAAGAAAACATCTTCAAAGCCAACAATGAATGTCCTACCATACCAAACTCCAAGGCTGAGGGACCATTATAACCTCGGTAAGAAGCTAGGCCAGGGGCAATTCGGGACAACATACCAGTGCACAGAAAAAGCCACAGGGCTTGAATATGCATGCAAAACAATCCCAAAGAGGAAGCTATTGTGCAAAGAGGATTATGAGGATGTTTGGAGGGAGATCCAAATAATGCACCACTTGTCGGAGCACCCAAACGTCGTTAGGATCAAAGGGACATACGAAGACAATGTGTTTGTCCACTTGGTCATGGAGCTATGCAAAGGGGGTGAGCTTTTCGATAGGATTGTGGCAAAGGGACATTATAGCGAGAAGAAAGCTGCCGTGTTGATGAAAACGATAGCGGGAGTTGTCGAGGCGTGTCATTCGCTAGGTGTCATGCATAGGGACCTTAAGCCCGAAAATTTCCTCTTCGATAGCCCTGATGAGGATGCCAAGCTTAAGTCCACCGATTTCGGTTTGTCCGTGTTCTTCAAACCCGGTATGTTCTTCTTTGTCTTCTTCCTCTTACGTGTTGATATGTATCTTTATATTTGACCGGTGTAGGATGACTTTACACTCTGTGCCTTTTTGAGTTGAAGTACATTAAGTGCAACACAATAAACAACTTTTTGAGTGTGATTCTTAATCAAAATCCACAATGCCAAGCAATCTAACATTAGCCAAATATAAATATACAAACAACATATAAGGCCTGCCCATTCCTTATATTTAAACCTGAGAACTTTCTAACATATCATATTGGCTTTTGGTTCAGGGCAGTACCTTTCTGATGTTGTAGGAAGTCCATATTATGTTGCACCAGAAGTACTCCAAAAGCACTATGGAACTGAAATTGATGTGTGGAGTGCTGGTGTTATTCTTTACATTTTACTATCAGGTGTTCCTCCATTTTGGGCAGGTAATTCTTTTTTGATAAATCTAAACAATGAACGACAACTTTAATGCAGAATGGTTTCTTGTAATAAAGAAATACTACTAATGTGGAACAATAATAATAATAATAATAATAATTGTACTTGCAGAAACGGATAATGGAATCTTCAAGCAGATTCTGAAAGGCAAATTAGATTTTGAATCTGATCCCTGGCCGTCCATTTCAGACAGTGCAAAGGATTTGATAAAAAAGATGCTCCACCGTGACCCGAAGAAGCGAATAACCGCTCACGAGGTCTTAAGTAAGTTTCCCTTTTTGTGCTGAAAGATGTGTTTCTTAACCTTAGATTTTCTCAAGTATATATAACCTATAATTTTTTTTAATAAGATGGTCTTTTTTCATTTCTATGCCACTGCTTTTGATTTGTACTATTTAATAAAAAACTGACAATATTTGGATGGTGGTGATGAGGTTAGTGACTATCTGGTTGTATTTTTATTCTTGAATATCATATTGAGGTGAAGCTCTTTGAGCTATTTGACCAAAACTTAAGTTTAGCAGTCATAAATAATGTTATTGGACTTGTTGCTGAGTTCAGTTAAGGACTTTGAATTTGGTAACAGGACACCCATGGATTGTGGATGACACAGTTGCCCCAGACAGACCGTTGGGCTCAGCGGTTTTGTCGCGCCTGAAACAATTCTCAGCTATGAACAAACTGAAAAAGATGGCTCTTCGCGTACGAATTTATTTCTTATAAAAATGAGTATGATGATGAGTCTTGGATGAATCTTGAAATGATGCAAATGTACATGGCAGGTAATAGCAGAGAGGCTATCAGAGGAAGAAATCGGAGGGCTAAGGCAGCTATTCAAAATGATAGATACAGATGGGAGTGGAAGTATCACATTTGAGGAACTCAAACAAGGGTTGAAAAGAGTTGGGTCTGAGCTTATGGAAGCTGATATTCATGCTCTCATGGAAGCGGTTTGCACTCTTCATTTTCTCTTTTCACTCAATGTTACGCCTCCAAATTTCTTATGAATAAAGTGACAATGTAAAATTACCGTTGACAACGAAAATGAATGATAAATGTTAACCACACTAACCATATATTAAAAGGAAATGAGACAAAAATTCCGGGACATTATAAGCAGGAAAGCAAGAAGAAACTTGTTGATAGTTTTAAGCATTAGATTATGGTATTAGGGTGGTATCTTTTTGTTTTTTTGTGAATAAAAGGTCTAAGAGCTTCTTAGCGGTCATATAGTCGCAAGCTGATTAATAGTGTCAAGATGGAATTATTTTGTTTCAATTGGGACTCAAGGTAATTGGTGACTTTGCATTCATTGTCTGTTTGGATGGACGGTTTTGAATGGTTCTTGAGGAAATGCTTTGAGTGGCTAATTTGGGTATAAAATCATGGTAAATGTTCCCCACACTTATCACACTGCACCTCTTATCGTTAGAGTTAAAAAAAAGACTAATTTGGGTATATGTTTACGATTTTTAGAGTATCGAGAGTTCAACGTAATGTGGCAGTATAATATCGTAATGTTTCTAACAACAATCTATTTATCAATTTAATAGAATAAACATTTTCAAACCCTCCATCTAAACAAACTGGCATTTAGCTAGCATACTAAACCAAGTACTTCTGGTCCAAAAATCTAAGAGATTTACCCCCTCCTAGGTTCTACCACCGGCTATTAGTGACATATATCTAAATATTTTAGTGGTGTGATTAAATGTATTTGTCAGGCTGATATTGACAATAGTGGAACCATTGACTATGGTGAGTTTCTTGCGGCAACATTGCACTTGAACAAGATGGAAAGAGAGGAAAATTTGCTGGCTGCTTTCTCTTATTTTGACAAAGATGGCAGCGGTTATATTACCGTTGATGAACTTCAACAAGCCTGCAAAGAATTCGGATTGGGGGACGTTCATCTCGAGGAGACCATTGAAGAAATCGACATCGACAATGTATGTTTCTTATAATTACCTTAAGCATTTGGACATTCACAAATGAATTTTGAATAATAAAACCCTCCTATTTTAAATGTTTGGTTGAATGTTTATAAAACTTATTAATACCTAATAATCCTAATATATTACCAAACTGAAGATAAAAAATAAAATGTGACTTAATCACTTTTAGTTAGTATGATTGTGTTCAACTATGATGTTGCAATGGCCATAAAAGTACACTCATAATAACTTTAGTAATATTTTTGCTCACGAGTTTTATATAATTAATGGTGGGTGTATACTGTTCATTGTATAGGACGGACGTATAGATTATGGGGAATTTGCAACAATGATGAAGAAAGGGAATGCAGGACTTGCAGCCAGAAGTATGAGAGGCAACTTGAATTTCAACTTGGCTGATGCCTTTGGAACAAATGACCCCAGTAACTAAACAACAATAGAAATGATTTGCTTTTTATTAGGTTAGAGAAATTTATATGGTGGACATTTATTGAAAATATTTATATTTTCCCATATTTTTTCCATTTGTCCATTATTAAGACTTGTAGTATTCTTATCCTTAGGCATTTCTATGTGAATGATATGTATTAAATGGCCCATGTATATCCATGAACACATGTGTTTGTCTCATTTTTTTTTATCACATTCACCAATACACATGCATCCAAATTTATATGGTGGACATTTATTGAAAATATTTAGGGAAAATGGAAACTAATAATCCAACATTTTAGCGATCTTCTTTCAATAATCCCACTTTTTGATTATTCATGAATAATCCAACCTTTGCACCTCATCTTCATTCACTGGTCCCTGACCGGTTGATGACTTGCTATTCCAAGCTATTTTCTTATCTTTGCAAATCATTATACCTTAAATCTCATCTTTCACAAAGATAATATTTTGCAAAGATAAAAAAAATAACTTGGAATAGCAGGTCATTAACCGATCAGGGACCAACGAATGAAGATGAGGTGCAAAGGTTGGATTATTCATGAATAATCAAAAGGTGGGATTATTGAAAGAAGATCACTAAAAGGTTGGATTATTAGTTTCCATTTTCCCAAATATTTATATTTTCCCATATTTTTTCCATTTGTCCATTATTAAGACTTGTAGTGTATTCTTATCCTTAGGCATTTCTATGTGAATGATATGTATTACATGGCCCATGTATATCCATGAACACATGTGTTTGTCTCTCTTTTTTTATCACATTCACCAATACACATGCATCCAAATAAATATTCAATGTAACATATACAGGTCATTTGACAACACTGTTTTTCGGTTTATTAGACTTATCAGCCAACTTTTTCACCAAACACGTATTTTTTGCTTTCGCGCGCTGAATTGTGTAATAAGCAGAAAAGTAAGGTTGAGGTTACTTTTTTGCCTGTATTGGCCGAAGTTACTGTAGATGACCATTTTAGCTATTTTTACATATAATTTTTTCTTTATTTTATTAGTAAAATATATTTTTATTTTTTTTCTTAAATCAACACAATCAGCCAATGCAGCCACTTCAGCCAGAACTTCATAAATTTCAACAGAATCAGCCAAATAAGCCGATTTTCATGCTACCAAATGGGCTCATAGGTAGCATATGAATACTCAAGAAGAGCAAGTGATGTTTTATCTGTTCAATCAAATTACTTATTCACAATTTTCTAAACAATTATTATCAATTCCAACATGTATGAGAACTAAAATTTTGAAAACAAGATACTAGTATTTACTCTGTCATGAAACCAATGAAGCTGGTCATGAACATTCCAGCTTGGTCATAGTCTTCATGTCACCATAGTTTCCAATTTTTCATCATGGAAAAGTGTGGTAATGTTGGCCCCCAGTTTAGAAATCATAAACTGAAATTTTAATTGAAAATGAACTACATTAATATCAAATGTATCAATAATTTGGCATGTTTAGCATGACGTATATGCTAACGTGGATGGTTACATGTCAGATGATGTGGCAGGTTGAGAATGACATGGCATACTATGTGCAACTCATGTGGCATGTTTTCTTTTGCACAATTTTCTATCATTGAACTATTTGTGGCTAAAAAAAATATTTATATGTGTAGGTGAAATGTACTTTGTGTCGGTAAAACAACATTTATGTATTGACAAAATTTTGCCTAAAGTGTAGGTATTAGAAATCATATAGGAGTATAAACTAAATTTTAAATTGAAAAGGAACCACATTTAGTATTGAACTATTGATGATATCTATAATTTGGAAAGGCGTGATAAAAAGTGACACTAAAAAATTAAAAACTTGTAATGTTAAAATATTATCCTTCAACTAGTACCATAAAAAAAAACTGTATATTGTGTCATATATGAAAGGTGACTGATGGAGTATATGGTCCAGGGACCCCCGGTCCACAGACTCCTACTACTCTAACACAGGCCCAACAGGCCCAGGAAGCACAAGAGGCCCAAAGCACAGCGGCCCAAGTGTCAAGAAGCCCACGGCGCACATACGGGGTGCCTTCGGCCCCATGACTGAGGGCTCCAAATCTCACAGAACAGCTAGATTTGAGCATACAAAGTTACTAGGAGAAAACGACAGAAATCAGGAGCCTTCGGCATCTTCGTGCCCTCGGCATAAGGGTAGCCTTCGGCTCACTGAGCCTTCGGCTACACAAAGCCTTCGGCCACAGGGGAGCTTTCGGCTACAGTGCAATCATCGAAGATTCTCTTTGGAGACAAGCAACCACTGCATTTAATGCGGCGTCACATCCGCCCACCGCATTTAATGCGGTGCACATGCGGCTGCCGGTGCCATCCCGATTGAGGTGACCACTCGGCCGTTAGATTGTTGACACATGTACTCTCATCGCATTTATGGCTCCTATAAATAGCACCTTTTATTCCTCTTGTAAAGGATCCCAGAACAAGTTGATTTAATATACTTGGCTTTCTCTCTCTTACTTGCTTGCTCTGACTTCTCTCTAGGTTATTCCCTGCAATAACCCCTCGGATAAGCTACCCCCGGGGTACACTTCCATCAGTGACAACTCCGGTACCTTTCTAAAATATGGGGTATCGTACCTATCATTCATTTGATTGGACCACATCACTTTATCATTTTTAATTTAGATGTAAATAATTCAATTGCTACATTCTCATTGGTCCATGTGGACAAATGTATGGTACTTTATGAGTAGCATAGAATCTACCTATATGAAAACAATCTCTACTCCTCAAATTTAGAAGTGTAGTCTTCATCATAGTCATAAAATTGCTGACCTCGCCCCAAAAAACTAGAGCCGCTTTTGAGAGCTCTGGAACAATGATCAGATGGGCATATTTGCCATGGGAGGGAGGATATTCTTTTCAATTAACAATTTTTGCATCATTCCAACCGTATTGGAAAGTTCTTCGACACAATTAACCAGTTCACTATATGTAGGAAGATTTGAATCATCTCTACATTTTTTATTTTCAAAAGGAGACCTCGAACCAAACAAACAAACAAATTCCCGCCCAAGAACCTTCTCTAATACTACGTATTTGTATATCGGTCCATTCCTCAGGTGAATTGTCTCTTCTCAATTGCATCATTTCTTCCTATAAAATTATGAATTAGATATTGATAATTCATGAATTGGAGAAATAATGAGCATGAAAGTAAATGTACTTGCATATTTAGATTTTGCTTCTGAAGATACCCAACCACGTTTTGAATGCCAGTAACGGAGACGCCACATCTCGATATGTCCAACATGAGCATCCAACTCAGCTCCACGACTGATATGGTGACGTGTTGTACTTTTAGAATCATTTCTAGAATTCCATTCTCTTTTTGCATGATTCAGCATTTTTCAGAGCTTGATTCTATAAAATAAACATGCATAAAAACAAAGGTACTAGTTATGAAGTGTCATGAGCATATTAGTTATAAATTTTATATAAAAAGTTACTCATCAAAAGATAGAAGGAAACTAGTTACGGAATTTAACATAAACAAGAAATACCAAAGTAGCCATATTTACATCTGTGCATTTAATTTCGGAAATTTAACTAATATTTCATCATCATTATCACCAGTCCAGTGCCGCAAAGGCTCCCACCTACAGTGGGGGTCGAATGTATGCAGTCTTACCAGTGTACTAAAGTACAGAGAGACTGTTTCCGAATGACACATAGTGAAAATTGCAAAGTCTGACTGTTACTTCATAACAAAGAAGCGCAAACAGTTTAGTGAGCCATTTTGCTTTATTCCATCATATTCTCAAGCCAAAAAATAGTGAGTCTTTGGCCCTATTGAAAAATTTAACTAATATTTATTCTAATTCATTTGGGTTAGTTCCAAATTTATTTTAAAAAACCACCAAATAATAGAGAAATGCAAGACAAGTGTGTCTGAAATGTATTAGGGACCCCTTGCCTATTTGTGAGTTATGAAGATATAATACGGTAATACCCCGGCAAACTATTCATATTAAATTCGACATGCAGTTTTAGGGTTCACCTGTGCGTAAAAAATGAAGATGGAAGAAGAGTATTCTCATCAAGTCTAGTTTGTCCATGTCAAATTTCAGCTCAAAACTCGACCGAGAAGGCTTTCAAATCATTTTTTGAAGTTGACTGTGTTTTTATATGTATATTTTGGCGCAGTCAACTTCAAAAAATGATTTGAATGCCTCCCCGATCGAATTTTGAGTTGAAATTTGGTATGGACAAACTAGACTTGATGACGAACATGCTCAAAAAATTTCATCAAAAAATTCCACCGGGAACCGCCCTAAACAGCAGAGTTCGGACGGTGACTTCCATCCCTCCGGCTGGACCTAAGCAGTCCTCTATACTAGAATAATTTTATCAAAAAAATGCAATCAACTAATGAGGTTAAGAATACAATTGTCTTAACAAAGTAAAGAAAATGTAAATGTACCGAACTACTAATATGTTTTCTTTTATTTTCGCGTCATGTTTTATGTTGCTGTGTTTTTTGTTGATGACTTTAGTTTTTAGTTTTAGGTCAACAATAACGATTTGACAATTCTGCTAGATATTATGTCGTTGGAAGGTCTATATGGCCAGTAATTGTTGTGTCACACTTGTTCGATGGTTAGCGATTCATATTGCTCTTTTAGGGGTGTTCGTCTCTGAATCAGTCGCATGGTTGATAGTGCTAGTTGATTACAAATAGTTATTGTCAGTGTCAAATACTAATGATGTTAATATAAGCGGGTTTTCCTTTCAAGAACGACAATTCATAATGCTAGAGCAAGTGATGATCTCTACATCCTAGATGAGGAAACCAACTTAAACAACGAGGTAATGCTTCCCCCTAGATATACCATTTGCTATCCTAAAGTTTACAAGATGTCTGGGTTCGAGATTTCGTGTTGTTGCGTAGGCACTCAGATATGTCTTCGTTTTGGCGAGTGGATCACCGCGCCATTTATTTGGTAGTTTCTTGTTTCGAGTTCGTCAAGGGTGCTGCCTAGCACGAAGAGCTTGCGCGGGAATTTTAGATCAAGATTCTCACAAAACAACATTAGTGTTGAAGTTAAGTCCTCTCGCTCCAAGGACCCAATACAGTCATCTGAAGTTTCGTCCGATCTTTTATATTTCAGGTGTATTTAACTAGCAATATTGGGAAGACCATAAGAAGAATGAGGTAAAGTCCAT